TTGTGCTCAGTACTCACGGATATCTGCCAATTTATACTATTTCATCACTGTCATTAGAGCTGTGTGTACTGGTTGATTTGGCCAGATAATGCAAAATCGAAGAAAATCAACAGGACATTTTTGTTTTTAATAATCCTGTCTTATAAATCAGAAAATAAACCAGTATTTGAACGGGATCATTCTAAATCTCCTTTCAAACTTCACAAAGTTATAAACAAATATAGTTGGACTAGTATATACTGATTTTTTCCAAGAAATTTTGTTGTTTATTTATTTCAAAATCTCTTAAACCTAGTCCAGGGACTTGCCCTATCAGTAAAGCTACTGCCACTTTTGCTCCATCTAGTGGAATATTGATTTTTGCTCAGTATTAACAGAATACGTAATACAACCTTTACCTCCTGAAGACAGATAACATCTGTACTGCTTTTTCTTACTGTGAAATGACGTTACATTGATGAAGCAATCACTTAGTTTCTTTTTATAACAACCACAAAAACCATAGACCTTTATAAATACAACACAGTAAATTTGGAAGAAGCAAATTTGCTACATTCTTTACTTTGCACGAAGTAAATTACTTGAAGTAATTCCATTTCTCTATTGAGTAAGTACAAGGAACCTTACTTGCAGGGAAGGTTAGTCTAATAGCAATCTCTGAAGTTCCACAATTAACAGCAAAGACAGTCTATTTATAAAGTTTGAGGTAAAAGTTAAGAGGAAATGAAGCCTTCTCCATAGCAAATATAATTAACAAACCAACAAGTTTTAAAAATGTATTTTCTTCACCTGGAGTGTTAATAAAAAGTTACATTAATATATTAATATTAATAGTAAAATATCATTATTAACATTACATAAATGCATTTATATCTTATTTGGACAATGAATAGCTATTGATTAAAGTCCTCATCCAAAATGACAGGTACGGATCTGTTAGTAGTCTGATGTCGCCAAAGGCCGTACTACTTCTGATACTACAGTCTAGTATAAAAACCCAGAATACAATTTTCCTTTATTCTCCAATCCCACCCCAAGGAGTCAAAGTATTTTAAAGAAGTTTAATTTCCTCCTCTTTAATTTTTTTTTTTTTTAATGAATTGAAATTTTCTTGTCAGGAATGGAAAATTCCGTGGCAGTCCTGGCCAGTAAAATGGTGCATATGTATGTTTCAACATTGTGGAGCTAGCTCCATAGTAAAAATTGGCAATGACCCATATGTATTAAAAGTGGAGTGTCCCCAACTTATTTGAAAATTTACCTACCTTAAATTATCCCTCAACCTATTGCAATTTGATTTATAATCTGCTGTTTCAACAGACTAAATGAACCCATTAAAAACAAACATACTGTAGATATTTATATCGGGAATAAAATTTCTCTGGGGAGGATGCAATTTATGGAAGCAGAAACATTGGAAGGAAGTAACAAATTGAGGTCCTGGTTTTCTAATGAAGGATTGGAAATTGAGTTCTGCTTAAATAAGCAGGAAAAAAAAAAAAGAGATGTGATTATTTTTCACTCATTAGCATTTAAGTCAGTAGCAGGATATTTCACAAGTTTTAGATAGATTTTTAAAAGTAGATTTAGTAAGTATTTTGTTAAGTTTAATTTTTATAGTCACATATGCAAGTAATTGATAGAAAGGCAGATTATCTACATATGCCCCACTGCATTTAACTATGATAAATAAAAATATCTGCCTATAACTTCAGAACTAGATTCTAACAAGGAAGAGTCTGCCTACTACACTCCAGAAGAACAAAACAGATGCAGGTCTGCCCAGAATCTGGTTCTTAGGCCAGATGGACTTTTATTACACGTCATGGTCTGTCTGACAGGCTTATAAACAAGATATAATCTTGTCTATGATTAATATTTTCCCTTACATAAATATTTGAAAGACACAGTATGTATCTTTTCTATCAATGTGCTAAGTATGCTACTAATCTTCAAGATATTTTGAATTTTATGCATTAATGAAATTGAAATCCTCAAACAATCATTGTTTTTCCTCAAAGTCTGCATACAGCATTTCCATTACATGAAAGGCAGAGTGGAAAAACATGTTCATGGTTTCACTTTGATTTCCACAACTTCTTTTGTCAGAGGCCAGCCACATGCCTACTTGGAATTATTATCCAAAGTGTAATTCCTCACAAGCAGACTAATAAATGGTATAGTACCATTTTCCTCACAATTATGTATTTTAAGAATGTGGCAAGCCCCTGTTGCTGGTGTAGAAAATGAAATTAGTCCCTTGGAGAGGGTATGATCAATGCTGTGTTAATCTAAACTTCAGCTTTAATGATTTGCATGAGGATTCCCCTTGATGCTGAAATATTGTTTTAAGAGTTCCTGTCTTTTGCTGAAAGGGGACTGAGTGGAGTGGATCCTGAGGATCTGCTTTCCTTCTCCGCGTGTGTGTGCATGTGTGTGTGCATGTGTGCGCGCATGTGCGCTCGTGTACACACGTGCTTAATAGGCACAAAATAAATGAAAATATTTTAGAATTTCTTTTTCAGATAATTTGCTTTGCTGAAATGCTTTAGGTAAAAGTTATAAAAGATAAAATCCTTGCAAAACTTACAAAATTATCCACATTTCATAATTTAGAATTGCTGGCCACACCTACAAGAACAACAAGCAGCAACTCGCTGTTCCCGTTCAAAATACAACTATGGAAAAATATGCTCCACATTCAAGTTCACAACTTCTTTCAAAGGGCACCAGGTTGAACAGATTGTGTCAGCTTAAAGAGTGTTCTGGGGAGTGGGCTGTGAAGGAAAGGCGCTGCATGTTTCCATCCCAGAAGGACTGCTTTGTTTTGGTCTCTCGCTTTCTCTCCCTCTCCCCCTCCCTCTCTCTCTCTCTCCCTCTCTCCCTCCCTCTCCTCTTTTACTAATCATATATATATTTGATTCTTATGTACCTGTTAAAACTCTGTGCCCTTTTTATCACACTGCTGAGCAGAAATATAGTACTAAGGATGCAGTTTCTATTTGTAGTTGTTATCATGTTATGATAAGAGAATAATCTAATTCCACTTGTGACCAAAGTCCAACCTGAAAAAGTAAAAGTCATGCTGAAGCATTCACTCAGCTTGATGTCTCCTCGAGTTCTTAATAAATTCATTCCAACTCAACAAAATATGGGATCCCTAATTGTACCTGCAGGGCACCTCTCAATTATCAAGTTATTCTTACAGTTCATCAATTGTCTGATTTCCATGAACTTGTACACTTAACTTCCTCAAAATAAACTGCAGTAACCAACTGGGTAGTTTTCAATAATCAACTCTATATATCCTTTCAGTATGCTGAATGTATTTCTTGCTCAATTCTGTTCAAGGGAGACATGAAATAGAGGACTTATGTATAATTTTATAAACTCTTATTTAGCATATTAGGGGAATTAACTGCCAATAACTTGGGATATTATCCTCTGATTCTGACAGCAATGTGCAACCATATGAGATTTTCAGTCATTATTATGATGATTATCAAAATTATTACTATTATTATTTAATACCCATTAGCCTACTTTTCCATGGTAACATTTATGAAAGAAGTTTTACTCTTAGATTTACTTCCTATCCAAACAATTTTATGCAAGTGTATGAAATTATTCTACCTTTTCTCAGTTATCTTTAAGTTTTTATTTTTAAAAATCCACCTTGGTTTCCCACTGGGTAGTTCATAGAAACATTCCAAAGCAATGAACACTGGTCAGAAGTAAAGCTCTTAAAAAAGTAAAAGAAGCAATGGGTGGGAAGTAGCAGAGCACAGAGTTCAGCAATGCAGAGCACAGAGTTCTAAGGGAATCTTCCCTCACCCTCTGCCCCTTTGGTATAAAGTCTCATGTACTGAAGAGCCTCCCATGCATTGCTTTCTGCTCTGCCTACATTATAATTTACTCTTTCTAAAAAGTAGTAGGTTATTTATTGTTTACTGTTTTGTTCCTTCATCATCTCATCTTATCATCAATATAACACTATAAAAATATTAAATTAAAAAAAATCTAGGATATACCAGACATCATTCCAGGCATAGGAGTTAAAATTATGAAGAAAGATTCCTCTTGCTCTCAAGTTGCATGAAATTTATCAGGAAGGACTGGGGAAAAAAACAAGTAAGCGTAATGCCATGTGACAATTCTGTATCTGGGGTAAGCACAAGATTCCATGGGACCATAGTGAAGTGATGCCTAAAGCAGTGTTGGAAGATAGAGAAGATTTGCTGCACAGTGTGACTCTTCAAGAGAAGTCTATACTTAGACTTAAGAAATGAATCAGAGTTAGCCACATGAATGGCCTTCCAAGCAGAGGGAAGCATGTGGGACATCTGGGCAATGGCAAGCAGTAGAGTATGAAGGAACAAATATTGCAAAGGCAGAAGGAGAATGAAGGGAGAAAAAGTAAGGGTAGAGAGACAAAGGCTTCTATAGATCAGGAAAAAAATTCAAACATTATGCTTAGGCAATATGGAACCTGTGAAGAATTTTCACCAGATCCACATTATGGAAATGTTTGGCTGAAAATGAAGTAGCACTAGAAACAGGACTAGAGACCACTTGGGAGACCACGTAGTAATTCAAAGCTTTCTGTGATCTTTACTAGAGAGTGTCTGTACCCCAGATTGCATAACATGTGAATCTGGCGGAGGCAAAATTAATTTCCCAGTAGATAACTAGACCATAACTCAGGGTTGGGACTAGGGTAAGGCAAGTGAAACAGTTACCTTGGGCACAAAATTTAAGGGGGCAGCAATAAACTCAGTAATCAAGATAAATAATATTTAGAGCAATATCTTTAACAATGAATACAAAAACAAATCCATGGTGAATGAAATATCAAAAATTTAAATAATGACAGTAACTGAATACTTTGGGGATATATGTAGATATGTGAAACAGACTAACTTCCCATACAGTGGGTTCCTTTTCCATCTTATTTAGAGAATTTCAGTTTATTCACTCAGTGTGGCTAACAACTAACTCACCTTGGAAGCCGAGAAAAAATGCCGGCTGATATTGATGTCAATGCATCATCCAAACGACCTGGTGGTTTCCCTTTGAGAATCCAGCTGACGACCAGTTCAAGAAGCATTAAGGAAATGAAAAATGGGGTTGCCTGGAAAGGAAATGGCACAAAAAAGATGCTATTGTGCTTGGTATGAAATTCTTCCACATTTCCTGATTAGTCATTCCAGAAGTGGGAGGCCCAGAGTGACATCTCATAGCAGGAGAAGGTATATACTTATCCTAGAGGATCACTTCCTCCCAACAGGCAAAGAAATCTGATTATTTCAGACATATACTAAACAGGTGCTCAAAATCTATCATCCAATTTGGAAATGAAATATAACCATAGATGTAACCATGATAATTCTGCCAAGAAAACAATAAGCTTAGGGGGGATGAGTTTTGAGTTAGACCTAAAAAAAAAAAAATACATTTTAAAATAAGTATAATAATCAGATGTCTATTATCTCCATAATTAAGACAGATCCTCTTTAAAAGGCTTCACTTAGGATACACATATTTCTAGTTATTCATATTAGAACTGCAGGAATAACAAAATTGAAACTGTAGGAACAAAGCATTTTCTTCCAAGTATTTCAGAGAATATGATCATTTATATGATCATTTAAAATGTGTCTTTAAAACATCATTCAAATTTTATTCACTCAGACTTAGTTTTGTGTTATAATAAGTGTTTTTAGGCTCCACTACGGATGACAAATACTGAGCAAAGTTTGGTGTTAAAATACAAAAAATAATGATTTACGAAGATGCGAGTATCACATTTTTCTTCTTAAAAAACTAGGAAAGGAATAATATCAAATCCTGAAAAAGTTAGGGGTTTCACTCACTTGGAAGCTGGTTATGAGTTCTAAAGTTTTCTAAACTGAAGTCCCAAGAACATATTCTCTGATGTCATTTTTTTCCCTTTATTTCTGGTCTGAACTAGTAAGTGTTATAGGAACAACTTTGACAGGGTGGGGAACTTAGGTATTCAAGTTCTAATTCTGGATATTTCCACTTCCAATCATAGCCAGGAACCAGAAGTAAAAAGTGCCTCTGAACACTTCAGAATTTCAAAGAAAACTTGGTTCAAGTTCAAACTTAGGAAGTCAGAGTTGGACTTAGTCAGCTCTATATCCATTCTGCAGAACTACTCTACCAAATTAAAGAGGAAATAGTTTCCTGGGAGGTGGTTTGCCCTTTAAAACCAAAATTGTTACATAGTTTACTGATGTCATACAACCATTTGACACTGAGCTTCTGACAACTGAATTTGTAACACCACTGTGTCTAGGAAAACTTTGTAAAGCTTTATCATATTCTGTAGTGACATATCCAAGGAGAGGAGTTTAACAGGAGAAACTGGTTATGGATATCGTACAGAAATTCAATTCAAGTAGAAATTCTAATGTTGCTCCATGCCTTTATAAAGCTGAATTATTTTTTATTAGAATTTAATAATTTGAAGAACGAAAGTGAACAAAACCCCAGGATGTGTTTAACATACTTATTAAGACAAAAGCAACAGTGGCCTTTTCCCAGGTAGTCTCACCTGCTTTACATAATCAGGCACCTCTTCCAGGGTTTTGAATGACGTTTCATTGGGCTTCATCATATAAAATATCATGCGAATTCCCTGGGAAACTGAAACATCCTGTTGGGCTTCTGGATTCATGTCTGCCCTTGTCTGATTCCCAGCTGGAGAATATTTGTGATTCAGTGGTTGAAGCCAGAGGCTGAACAAAGAGGATGAGAGCTGAGCTGCACAGAACAAGCCCTTGGTCAGAGAACAGCTAGAAACAAAGCTCCACGGAGAACACAGCCAACAGAGGATTCTGTGTAGAGAGACAGGAAAACACAGGCACCAGGAAAGAGTTCAGAATTCTGTGGGTGTAGGACACGTGAGGGAGGGAAATGGGAGGAATCATGCCCAAATCAAAGATAAACACTGGAATTTGACTGTAGGTGGAGTAACTTAACATCAAAAAGAAAAAAATAAAAGAAGAGAGAGAGAGAGAGAGAGAGAAAGAAAGAGAAAGAAAGAAAGAAAAAACAGAAAAACAAAACAAAAACATGATACAGCCTTAGAAAGGGGAAGAAGAAAGTGCTAACAGGTGAAAGTTCACTCTGAAAAAGTGGACAGCAATTCAAGACTCAGATCACAAAAGGAAAATTCTTTTTTTTTCCTTTGAAATTCACATTGCGTTCTGTGTGTCGTCTCCTCACAGAGTCCTATTTCCTGCAAGGACAGGGTGCTCTAATCTCAGTAAGACTAAGCTTCAAAGTCAATAAGCACTGACTATATCACACTGATTATTGCCTATAGGTTTCTGGATTTGTATGGTGTTAACTTCTGAATGTTTGCAAACCAATTTAGAGGCATTTGGCTTGTTACATGATCTACCATGTTTAATGGAACCTTGACTGATCACATGCGTATTCTTCTGAGCACTTATGGGGACTCTCTGATTGAAGAAGCTGCCAAGATGTTGCTGCAAGACTGTATCTGTGTTTTGCAGGAGGAGCCTAAGTTGATTATGCCTTTCAGGGAGATTAGAGGGCATTTCATTGATTGCATCACCAGTGAATGAGGGGGTTTCCTGAACAGCCTCAACCCTTCACCTAGAATGGCTATGATCACCCTTTAGCTACCAACTCATCTTTTAAACATGTTTGTGTAAATTTCATTAAATTATCAATACATGACTATTTTAGGAAAAAAATAGAAACTATAGATAAACAATAAATAAATTGCTACCCAGAGACACTATTAACATTTTGGTGTGTGAATAGTCAATTCTGCTGTTATGGGACATACAAACTGCTAAAAATCAGGATAGTTTGCAAAGCTGTGCAATAAAAACTAGGAGGCTTATGAGAAAAATGGGATTTGGGTACAATACTCAAAAACTTTGTAATGATCCATAAGGAAAAAAAAAGAAGATCAAGATCTAATAAAAATTGTACTACACTTTTACACACGCATGTTACATGGTTAGGAATAAGTATGGTGCTTCATCTTGAAAAAAACCTGACATTTATTTGTGGAAGTGAGCATTGGAAGAGTGGCACAACCTGAGTTATTGTGGAGTCGTCAACTTATCAGAAGTTTGCTCCACTGAGCATGTGGTTAGACAGCCTCCCCCTGCCCCACTGGCTGCAGAGGTGTATGTGTGCATATGTGTGTACATTCCAAGAGGTAAATACAAAATCATTTTAAGTACTTAAAGTAGCAGACCATTAATACAAAGAATTAGTTACAGAAATTATAAAAGAAGTGAAAAATCCAATGAGAAGAAAGAAGAAATCTAGGGATTAATCTCAACAGGAAGTCACTAGCATCTTTAAGCTACAGGGACAAAAAAAAAAAAAAGGAGGGTGTGTTAACGCTGCTCAGGGACTGGGTCACACATGGAAGGTCTGAACCCCAATGGGCCTAAGGAGATCATCGGCCATGGAACAAACCCCAAAAACAATAACAAATGTAAGAGGATTAGAAAAGAGTATGATGGCTACTCCCTTCTTAGAGCCAACCAATCTCCCAGCAATACCTCCCATTGGCCTAAGTGAGTCAAAGCCATTTAAAAGAAAAGCCTAGGAGACGAAGTCTCTGGCCTGGAGGGAATACAGAACAGGGAAGAAGGGGAGGAATGCATCCAAAGAAAAAGCCAACCAAGGACCAGCACACTATTATAACTTACTTGTTTCTCCACTGTTGTGCAATTAAGTGTAGTTTTCCAGTTTTAGCTAGTAAATTTAATGCAACAAGGAACATCATGGTATAAATATCTCATACACTTGTGTACATTTTGTATTAAATAAATTCCTACCAGTGGAATTATGTTGAAGGGTATGTAAAATTTATGCTTTGATAGTTGCTGCCAAATTCACCTCCAGAATTGTCTTTCACTCTTGCTGACACTGGATACTCTCAATCGTTGATAGTTTTAAGCCTATTGGGAAAAATGACATCTTGCCTTAATTTGCATTTCCCTAGTGACTTTGAAAATCTTTGCAATACATTTATTAGTCATTTGTTTTTCTTAGTGTGTGATTTATTTTTAAATATATGTTGCGGGGCGCCTGGGTGGCTCAGTTGGTTAGGCGACTACCTTCAGCTCAGGTCATGATCCTGGAGTCCCGGGATCGAGTCCCGCATCGGGCTCCCTGCTCAGCAGGGAGTCTGCTTCTGCCTCGGACCCTCCCCCCTCTCATGCTCTCTCTCTATCTCATTCTCTCTCTCAAATAAATAAAATCTTTAAAAAATTAAATAAATAAATATATGTTGCATGTGATTTTATATTGTCTTTCTATATTGATTTATGTGCTATTTGTATTCTACATATATATATATGTATTTTGCTCCTGTATATGGCAAATGTTCTCTCAGTCTTTATTTTTTTTCGACTTTGTTACCTATATGTTGTCATATAGCAATTGTAACTTTGTGCATACTGCTATCTTTTATTTTATTACTTTTATTTTATTACTTTTATTACTTTATTACTTTTATTTTATTACTTTATTTTATTACTTCTGCCTTTGGGTCTTGTTCATGAATGTTTTCTTCCAGAATTCTACAAAAATAACCTTCTGTGTTTTCTTCTAGGACTTTTCAGTTGTTCCTTCAGTCATCCGGAGTTCAGTTTCTATATGGTAGGAAGTCATTATTTCGTGTCATCCCCTCCCTCCCTACCCTGGATGGATCCCAGTTCTTCCCATACCATTCCTTAAAGTCACTACTTTCCACATTACTCTCTGACCTATGTGCACTGTTTCCAGGCTCTCCACTCATCCCACTGATGGGTCTATTCTTGTACTCTATCACGTTGCCATAATTAGTATACTACCATAACAAATTCTAGTAACTTGTAGAACAACTTTTCATTTGTGAGTTGTTTTTCAAAAATTTTAAACTATTTTTCACATTTGTTCTAATGGATCTATTTAAACGAAACTTGAAAAATTCTATTGGCATTTTAAGTGGAACTTCATTAGATTCATGGATTGATTTGGAAGAATTGACATCACAGGCCCTCAATAAACCTGTCTGGAACAAATGAACGTAGACACTACCATCATTTAAACCTCATTCTATATTTAAGTGATGCCAATGCTAACTACCAATTCCTTATCCTCTCCATTCTTTTTTTTAAAGATTTTATTTTTAAGTAATCTCTCCCTCAATATGGGGCTCAAGCCCACAACCCTGAGATCAAGAGTCACACGCTCCACCAACTGAGCCAGCCAGACACCCCTATCCTCTCCATTCTTTTTGTACTGGCACAGGTGGCAAAATTTTCTTTCTTTTCTTCTTTTTTTTCACCAGAAGGTTATAAATATAACTGTGTATCTTACCATGATTTTTTAACCTATATATGTGAAGAATACCTTGGCTAAATATAAAATCTCTAGCTCAAAAATTAATTCCCCCCAAAATCAACAGAGACAAAACACTTTGGCTAAAACCTGTCAGGTGAAACAAGATATATGGAATAGATGGTTTAAAGCCCATACCAGAACCAGAAAGAAGAAGCCTGAGATAGTTCCAGGTGCTTTCCTGTCCGGTTTCTATCCAAAGACTCCTAGTCAATGGGGCCTTGTTGGCAGTCCCTTCTTTCACCTAATTAAAGTGAAAATACTTAGGAAGAGCCTGATATGAGGGATAAGCATCCTGTGAGAACTCAAGACATGACAACCTGCTGCACTATGCTCTCATTTGCAAATAAATCAGAACAAAAAGACATCAGAAGCTTTTTGTACTGAACAGACATCTAAAAAAAGCTGATATGGAAATTCTAGTGATACTGATAACTGTCCCGCCAAGAGAGAGAGATCACAGTAATTTGAACAGGGAAAGTTTAATATAAAGAATTGTCAGTTTTGACATAGTCTGTAGAAATACTTTTCTAGATATGTCTCCTTAGGCAGGAGAAACAAAAGCCAAAATAAACCATTGGGACTACACCAACATAAAAAGCTTTTTCACAGAAAGGGAAATCATCAACAAAATGACAAGGCAACATACTGAATCAGAGAAGATACTCGGAAATTATATATCTGATAAGGGGTTAATATCGTGTGTGTGTCTGTGTGTATGTATAAATTCGTACAATTCAACACTAAAAAATACAAATAATTCAAATAAAAATGGGCACAGGACCTGAATAAACATCTTTCCAAAGAAGACATACAGAAGGCCAACAGGCACATGAAAAGATGCTCAACATCACTAATCATCAAGAAAATGCAAGTCAAAACCACAATGAGATATCACCTCACACCTGTCCGAATGGCTGAAATAAAAAAGGCAAAAAATAACAAGTGTTGGTGAGGATGTGGAGAAAAAGTAACTCTTGTACATTGTTGGTGGAATGAGAATTGGCACAGCCACTATGTAAAACAGTGGAGGGTCCTCAAAAAATTAAAAGTAGAATTACCACATGATCCAGTAATTCCACTACTGGAAATTTACTCAGAGAAAATGAAAAGACTAATTTGAAAAGATATATGCACCCCTATGTTTATTGCAGCACTATTAACAATTGCCAAATTATGGAAGCAACGCAAGTGTCCACCCATAGATGAATGGATAAAGAAGAAGTGGCATATACACACAATGGAACACTACTCAGACATAGAAAATAATGAGATCTTGTCATTTGCTACAACATGGATGGGCCTAGAGGGCATAAAGCTAACTGAAGTAAGGCAGGCAAAGACAAATGCCATATGACTTCACTCATATGTGGGACTTAAGAAAAAAAATAAATTAACAAACACAGAAGAAAAAGACAGACAAACAGACTCAAA